GTGTCCACAGGAGGTGTGGGTTTTATTGGCTGTGATGCCAAAGAGGTCCTTACCTTCAGGGACCAGCCTGGGTGGCAGCCAAGCGGGCTTCCTTGGAACGTGTTCCAGGCCTGGAGAGAAAGGCAGCAGTTGAGTCTCTGTGGCTCTGGCCACTTCTGGGAGGCGCCTGTTTGTCTGATGTGACTCCTGTGCCTGGGATGGAGACCACAGTCATTTTATGGATGTCACACACTGTCAGGTGTGGCCCAGATGGTCAACGCAGAGTCCAAGGCTTTATGAGCTCAGCTCTTCAGGGAGGCCGCGTGGTGTGCTGGTCACAAATGTGGCCTCTGGAGCCAGACTTTCTGCATTTGAACCTGGCCTTGTCGTTTACGGGTTCTCTGCCCTTGGGAAAGTTCCTTAACTTCTCCATGCCTCAGTTTCCTCATCTGTAAAGGGAGGACAATGCCCCTCCCTCAAAGGCATTGTGAAGTGCTTAGCACACAGTGAGCGCTGGGTGGGTGCTGGTTGCTGTGATGTTACGTGCTCCCTCGGTAGACGGCCCGATGGTGGATTTTCGAGTTTGGGGAAGGATCACGGACTTCCCACCAAACAGCTTGCATGCTGAGTGCAGGCGGGAGAGCTGTCTTCTGGGGTCCACCTTATGTGTTCTGCCCCTTGTACTTGCCCTTCCCATCTTTTTCACTTTTCCTTTGCTCACCTGACCAGTCACCTGCCGAGATTAAAGGATGTGTGGCTGGAAGATCAGAGTCTGTGACTACCTTAGCTCCTTACTGCCCTGTGGGCTTGGACGAGATGCTGAACCTCTGCGCGCAGGAGTGAGTGTCTCATGAAGTGGAGTAACTGTGCATGCTGTTACCCTGGGGTCATGAGACAAAGGACACACACTGGGAACACCTGGTGGTCCTCCTCGGGAAGCTGAGACTCTCATGACTGTGCTCATGAAGGAGAAGGGATGGCGTGCTCTTCACCCACACTCCCTTACAGGGAGTGTGCAGTAGGGCAAGCCCTGAGCTGGGGTCAGGAGACGTGGGTCCTCCTAAGTGAGGTGCCGGTTGTACAGGACCAAGCAAGGAGTAGGAGCCTCTCCTCCACTTGATTCCACTGTCTGGAGGGACCCCGGCTTCCATTCCCTTCTATTCCAGTGACCTAGAGTTGTGGAGTTGTGCACTGAGCAGAGCTGTGTTACTACAGGCGCTGACAACAGTCAGCCTGCTGACCTGTTTCCCAGCTGCCTGTCTCAGAAAGTAAGGATCTTTGGCTTCTTACGGCTCCAGCGTGAGGCAGAGACCGCTGAGGAGAACACCCTGACTCTCCTGGCTTCCTGGGACTTGATGCTGTCTTTTCAGATTTTGCTTTTTTTTTTATTATTATTTTACACATTTATTCTTTGTCTTCACAACCCCCTCACCACTTCCAGGCCGTAGAAAGGAAGCTGTGTGAGAATAGGGACCGTGTCTGTGTTGGCTGTCAGGACTGGAAAGTGCTTGGCGCATCTTCTACACATGCCCACACATGCTTGTGTAACCCCGTGTTGTAACGTGGTTGCATACTTTTGTCTGTGAAGCTGTGATCTGGTTACTCCTCTGCTGACCTACTTCCCACCCCAAAACGTGCCGCCTTGTTTTTTGGAGGTTGGAGGACTAGACTTAAGGATGGTTACGTTGTCTGTCTTGAAACATACGCAGAGTCGCAGTGCCGGCTTCTTCCCTGGTGTGTGCAGATCGTGTCAAAGCACAGCGGCTCCTGGTATCGGGAAGCCCACAGTTTCAGGCCGAGGACACTTGGCTGTGATGGCAATGTGTAGCATAGGTAGGATCTGTTTATATACGTAGTGGAGGTGGTTGGTAGGAGGCAAAATATAACCTTCGAATTGTGCTCGCACATATTACTGAGATTTCATATTGCTTTCATTATTTGGCCACAAAAATGGACATAATCCTTGTTGGCTTTAACACACCTACTAGTACTGCTTTCGCTATCCATCTTGCAAAATATAAGACAAGGCCAGAGCTTAAATTAAAATCCTCAGCTTCTTATCTCCTTCCCACAGGAAAGCAAATCTGTGTTGAAAACCGTAAAATTAAGAGGAGAGCAAGGATAGCATAATTTAGCAAAAATTCGTGGCACTAGATTCTGAGCAATATGACTGGAGGGGTAGGTCAGACATTAAGAAGATGCTGCCGCTAATGCGAGTTCCTTAAGGTGGGGCTTGGGAAATAGGAAAGGCACGCCAAATATGTGTGTTTCCAGAAGATTTCTGCACTGCTCACTCTTCACAACTACCCTAGGAAAACATCTCTGTAGATTGTTTGGCAGTTATGCTTATGAGACTGTTGAAATGAAACTCAGAGCAGTTATTCTAGAGTATAGTTGAAACAGATTCATTTTAGCATTTGGGTGTTGAGATTTTTGTTTCCATTTTTAAGAGGGTTTATAATATTATCATCAGATCCCTGCACCCATCCACCTGCTCCCCGCCCCCCCACCCCAGCATTCCGCATCCCCTGTATTTAAGAAGCTCATTCTGTGTATTTGGCAAACCGTGTCATTAACACTTGAAAAGCATTGACACGTTTTTTTAACCTTTTACACACTCACCTGCATGTCTGTGCTGAAGTACCAGAGACAAGGCGTGTGGCTTTGATAACGGTGCTTTGTTTAACAAACACCAAGGGCTGTACAAGCCATGGAAGTTCTGCCGTTAGCAAGGAGCCGATAATTATGAAATAGGGACAGTCTGGTATGAAAATTATATCATTGTCTAAAAAAGTGTGATTTTTTCTTCCCCTTGCTTTTTTCCCCTAAGTTTCTTCTGGCTGGAGATTGTAACGACAGGGTGTAGAGAAACACCATTACCAGCTGGAAGGAGAATTGAGTGTCACTAGGGTCCTTGTCCCTAGTTTTCCTGAGGGAGCCACACACTTTTGATACCTAATTTGTAAAAACATCAAATGCAAAACTAGCGTGTGTTGTAGGTGCGGCCACCACACACAGGAGTGTTCCAGGCCCTCAGCTGTTCACGCATACCCACGTTTTCAGCAGAGTACACTGTTCAGTTTCCAGGCATTTCCTCAATTTTTTTTTTAAATACAGATATTTGCTTCTGGAGAAACAGATTTCACATGCATTTCAGTCTGTAGTACAGTAAAAACCTCACTCGTTCAAACTGATTATGCTGGAGGTATGTCTGAGCTAGCGAATTAGAGAATATTCAAAATGCATTATGTTCTGTTCCTCTTAAATTCGCAAGTTACTTATTACTATAGTGTGTCTAAGTAGAGATCTTCCTGGACTGATTTAATTAGTAAATAAGTTTAAAATCAGAAAGGTATTTTGCATGTATATGACTCTGTTGAGTTGACTTTCTTTTTGGGACGAGGGATGTAGTTTCTATAGGAAACAGTCCTGCTACTTAGGTTAAGCTGCCTGAGTCTTGTTTACCTTACTCATTTGCTTAGTAAGCACTTTCTTGGGTAGGAAAAAAATGTCAATTTTAGCCAAACAAAAGAATCCCAGATTTCAAATGGATGAAGTCCAAATAAATTACCTGAACCTTTAAAAAGTGTTATTGCTATGTAATTTTAGACTTCCAAATTAAATATATGTAGTTTTAGACTTCCAAATTAAATAATAAAATTTGTTTTTATTTTTTTTTCAAAGATTGGCACCTGAGCACAACCATTGCCAATCTTCTTTTCTTTTTTTCTTCCACTTTTTCTCCACAAATGCCCCCAGTACATAGTTGTATATTCTTTTTAATTATGGGTCCTTCTAGTTGTGGCATGCAGGATGCCGCCTCAGCGTGGCCTAACAAGCGGTGCCATGCCCACGCCCAGGATCTGAACCAGCAAGACCCTGGGCCACCGAAGCAGAGCATGTGAACTTAACCACCTGGCCATGGGGCCAGCCCTAAAATTTGTTTTTAAACAAATATAAGCACATTAAGTATGTTAAAATATAAAATGCTAATAATTTAGTCTTCTTACATGGGGCCGGCCCCATGGCCGAGTGGTTGCGTTCACCTGCTCTGCTTCGGCGGCCCAGGGTTTCGCCGGTTCGGATCCTTGGCGTGGACCCAGCACTGCTCATCAGGCCATGCTGAGGCGACATCCCACATAGCACTACCAGAAAGACCCACAACTAAAATATACAACTAGGTACTGGGGGCCTTTGTGGAGAAGAAGAAAAAGGAGGAAAAGAAAAACAAGATTGGTAGCAGATGTTAGCTCAGGTACCAATCTGAAAGAAAGAAAGAAAGAAGGAAAGAAAGGGTTCTTACAAGATCTATTTCATATTACGTGGTTGAACTCAAGATTGAAATTCCCTTTTATCAATGAAGACTTTTACAAAGTAGAGAATTTAAAGATGAACTGAGTTGGGTTCAGACATTTGAATGGTCATGTTTGATTGACAAAGCTATAAAATACAAAAAATGGTATGACATGATTCCTAAAGGTATATAACTAGAATTATGAATTCTATAAATAAGTGGATATCAATACACCACATTATATTTATTGGGTTAAGAATTTGCCCTTTAAATTGGCAGTATTTATTCATTTATTTGTTCATTGAACAATTTTTTATTGAGTGCTCTTTTAATGCCAGATACATGTAATGAATGAAGAGCTTAATCAACATTGCTAATTTTTGCTCCAGTAACTCTCTGTTGACCTAAGGTGAGGAGGTAGCCCGGAAGGGCGTGTAAACGTGTGTACGGAGATTCCCGTCGCGGGAGAACGGTGCTCAAGCTGCACCTCCAGGGGTGCAGTTCATAACTGGGGGTCTCCTGGTGGGATAGTCACGTACCTGTGGAGCGTTTAGCATGGAAGGTTGAGAAGATCTGAGTGCATACAGAGGTGACTGCCCTTGTCCAGGTCTGGAGGTGGCTCCTGGGTTGCGCTGACGTCCAGTTACTGCTGGCATGTGGCTTTTTCTCTGGGAGAGGCAAGCACTGGGCATCCACGTTAACTATTGACCTTGTCGTTACTTTGCAGTCAAATAAAGTGCCCGTGGTGCAGCCATCCCATGCGGTCCATCCTCTCACCCCTCTCATCACGTACAGCGACGAGCACTTTTCTCCAGGATCACACCCGTCACACATCCCATCAGATGTCAACTCCAAGCAAGGTGAGAGCCCCGCCTGCCAGGCCTCTTCCCACCCACGGGGAGCCACGTCTCATCAGTCTGCATGGCCTTTGCTCCATGTCACTGGCAAATCAATAGATTTATAGGAGAGAAGCGTAATTTATCTGATAGCATTTTTTTTATTAATCCACAAGAATTTGTTGCTTCTTTTATTTTTCAGGATAAAAAAAAAAAACAGAAGAAAAGCATAGAAGGGTCATTTTTAAAGTGATGGCTCTGAAAGTCTGTGATCCACAGTGTAAAGCAATACGTTTGCACTGAAACTCTGACCTCCGTGCCCCCCGTGGTGGTCATTTATCTCAGCATGCACTGGGTGTTGATGGCAATGTTAAAAAGGAGTTAGAAGAGGGACAAGGGAGGAGATTGTACTTCAACTGTTACCTTTTTTGAGCCTTTTATGATTTCTTTTGGTTTCACTTACACCCATATCTTGTTTTATCCTCCTCTTCTTATTTACCGGCACCGACTTAGAGATAAGTAAGAATTAAAGCACAAACCATCTCTGCTTAAAGTCAAAGTAATATGAATCTTACCTTGCTTCTCTACATTATTACCAAGTTCTGCTCCTGTATCATTTACAGAAAAACACTCAGCGTGAGCGGTCTGAAAAACCCAAGCGCCCAGTGTCTAACCTGAGGGTACGGGCTGGCTGTGGGACACAGAGCGCAGGTTCTCCAGACTTTCTGGTCCGCTCCGCTCAGAGCAAACCTGGAGGACGCATCTTTTCCCAGGGGGGCTTTGCTCTTTGCACGTGCACACGTGGCCCTCAGCAGCATCTCTAGATGTCCGCAATGAGAGGTCCTGTAGAGCCACGTGAAAGCAGAGGATGTAAGGCTGTGGCGTTTGGCTTCTCCAGCATGCCGCCCTTCTCTCCAGCCCTGTCTTTGACCTATAGTGGACAAGAAAATTTCATACATGTGTGTGAGAGTGGAGTTTGCAAGCTGGATGTTTTTTCCACTACTGTGAACACTTCTAGGTTAAATACCAAACACTTTCACTTCCCTCCTTTGTTGAAGTCCACAGCTCACTTCAGGACTTAGTTAATTTCGGGCTGCGACTCGAGTGGAGCCCAGGTCCCTTTACTGAGAGAAGGTAGGACTCACCTGTGCAGGTGTTCGCAGGTTTGCCTCATTTCCAGTGTTTCCTCTGCTCTCCTTCCTTTTGTCAAGGGCCTCCGCAGAATAAGGGCCATCAGACAGGGCTATGGCTGTGTGGTGGGAAAAGGAATTAGGATGGGCCTCTGAGGAAGAAGGATGAGTTTGGGAGAGAAGATCAAGAACACGCCCTCAGTTGTGGAGGATTCAGGGTGCCTCTGAGAGATCTGAAGAGCGACAGGAGACGGGCAGTTTAAACGTGGGGGTCCCAACCCCAGGGCGGGGTCTGAGCTAGACATTACATGTCTGGGCACCATGAAGATGTAGCTGGCAGTGAAAGACAAGTGGCAGCAGAAAGAACCCAGTGGTATGTTTTATTTAGTTTTCACCTATTTATTTAACAATCGCTTAGTGCTTACTCTGCCCTGGGCCCCATTCTAAGTACTTTGAAATGAACTTATTTAAAAGGATGACACATAACAGCTCAGGGGTTTTTCTCTCAGGAGTTCTATACAGTTCCATTTAAAAAAAAAAACAAGTGTATGCCTGGCTACCAGTTACATTTATATTTTCTCTTCTCTTTCCACCTCTTGCTGCTTCCCCACCTCGTCTTGCCTTACTCATTGTAATTTCTATCATTGCTTCTCAAACTTGTTTTTTAACAAACCCCCAGAACTAGAGGGGGCCTGGGGGCTGTGTCCAGAGTTCTGCTTGCACTTTCCATGAAGTCTTTATCTTGTCCTAAAAATTTCCATGATGTTTGCATTCTACTCCATACACTGTTTGTTTTAGTATAAAGATTCTATTTTTAATTACTTTTTTTCTAAAAAAAAGACTTTGTATATCTCATTACCCTGTATCTCTGGGAGTACGTAAACCTTGGTTTGACAATAACTAATTTACATGATTTTGAGTTTGTATCACTCCGTTTGGGTACATTGACCACCACAAAATAGGTAAAAAGCTCACTAGGTCTCTTGCTTTTTTATTTCTTTTCTTTCCTACCGCCTGCCTGTTGGCTATATCATGAGTGCGGCGAGTTCGAACGGGGTGGCGCAGAGGCAGGGTTGCTGATCTCAGAGTTCCTGGGAGGCTGATTACTTCATTAAAGAGAAAAAAAACCCAAAACCAAAAAGGGCATCATGTCCATACTCGAACCCTAGATAGAACTATCTAATAAATACAACCGTCAGCAGAACCCATTCTCATTTGTAGGAAAATAACTTGAGGTTAATTTCCCATTAGGAAGCACATTAGTTTTTGCCTCTCAGTGTGTGTGTGTATGTGTGTGTGTGTGTGTGTGTGTGCATGCGTGTAGGAAAAGGAAAGCCTGCTAATATTAATCATTTTGTTCTACTCATGATGTCTGGGAAAAATATCAAAGAGCTTTTAGGAAGTAGAGGGTTTATGTACCTGTTTATATCTTTGTGTTACCCATTGTATCCTTGTAGTAACCACCCACACTCACATAGCATTTATTCTGTGTACCAAACACTTTTCTGTATTACATAGAGTAATGCATTTATTCTTCAAGACAGCCCCATTCCATTTTTATTCTTATTTTACAGAACAATAATGATTCAGTAACTTCCTCAAAGATACATAGCTAGCAAGCAGCAGAACTGATATATCCGTACAAGTCTGACTCCAGAACCATGTCATCTGTGTTTATAAAAGTTACGTATAAAAGTTTAAAAATCTTTACGGGTGTGCTGCACGCAGAGTGTGTTGGGTAAATACTAGTTAAGTGAGTGATGTGAACTGTGTTTTCAGTGGCACAGCGGCTGGTGGAGAGGCTTCTAGGAATCTCTGGGAACAGGATCTTAAGATGACAATAAGCTATTTAGAAAACACGGATCCATTTTCTGCTCGTGTGGTTATCTACGCAACATCACACGCTTGTATGTCCTTGCAAAATGGTTGACCACGTTGACCCAGCGGGGGCGTGGGTCCCTGTAAACGCTCATTATTCCACCTGTTCATTTTTCGGTCATTCAGAAGTGTTGGAGCTCCTCTGGAGACAGCCGTGGTTGGAAACGTAGACCGGGAGAACAGATCATGCAGGAAATTATTTGCACAAACAGTGCAAAAGAAAACGAAGAACGTCTTAAGTACCACATTAAAAGTGCAAATAAAATGTTGTAGATTCAAAGAAGAAAGAGATTTCTCAGCTATAAAAACTAGAGAATATTCCATAGGAGAGGGGTATTTGAAATATGAGTAGAATTTAGTAGAAAAAGTCAGATTGAATACCCAGCGTAGGAACTAACATGTAGCAGCTGCTAAGTAAATGCTAGTTCCCTCCGTCCTCCTTCGAGCGGTAAAACCAAATCCAGCTAGCGTATGTCCCTCCCCCACTGAGGTGGAGAGCGAGGTGTCCGCTTGTCTGCTGAGAGATGTGTGACAGCAAGCAAGTCACTGGTCTGTGTCCCAGTGATAAGAGCCCAGGACAGGACATGTTTTGTGTGTACCCACACAGTCACTTCTCCTCTCCTGACCTTTATTTCTGCTTCTGCAAAACCAAGGGATTAAAGTAGATGATTCAGGTAGTCTCTGACCTCCAGTCGTGACTTTCGAGTTCAGATTTCCACGAAGTTTCCAAGGTTCTCCAGAGTTGGTGGTCTAGTTTTTCTTTTCAAATCTGAGCAGTCCCCCTGCAGACCCTGCAGTTCGGGGGGTCAGCATCTCGGGGTGAGGAAGGCTGCGATGCTCACCGTCTCTCCCTGGAGAAGCAGCCCGGTGATTCTGCCGCGTCAAGACTCAGTGCCGCAGCCTCCCTCGGCCACCCCTGCTGCCCAAACCGCCGCGGACCCCAGAAGAAATCCCAGAGGGTGCAATCTTGTGTCCACTGTGACCAAAAGAAGCAGTATTTCTAACCAAAAAGAAAAAGAGATTTGAGACTATTCTTTTAAAAATAGCAAAACATGAGATGCTCCCATGTAAGCTTTCTGTCGAGAGAGAGAGAGAGAGAGAGAGAGAGAGAGAGAGAGAGTGAGTGAGAGTGAGAGTGAGAGTGAGAGTGAGAGTGAGTGAGAGAGTGAGAGTGAGAGAGAGAGTGAGAAAGAGAGAGGTGGGGGGGAGAGGGAGGGAGAGAGAGAGGGGGGGAGAGAGAGGAGGGGGAGGGAGAGAGGGAGGGAGGGTAGAGACTTTCTCCTTCCAACCTGCTTCCTGTAAGAGCTGAGAAATAGTTTGTCCCAACTTCAGAGTCAAATTAACATCAACTTTGAGGCCACACTTCTGAAGTCATTCCCGTATGTCCAAGGCCTTCGATATCTTTTAAGATCCAAATGAAGCTCATAGAGATTTTAAACAGTAAAAAAGCAGAATACTTCAGAGCATTGTCTGTTTGCTCACTTAATTCCACATACGGGACAATGTAGTTACAACCCCTGGATGCACATTCTGGGTGTTAGACCTGGGAGTGTTTTTATGGAAATGGTCTGTTAAAGCCAGATTAGCTGTGTAAAGGAATTTGTGTGGCTTTTTTCTATTCAGATCACTCTCCCCCAAACACATCGAATCTGAGTTTTTATATTTTGCATTGTTATGTGTGTGTCTCACCCCCCTTTTCTGTACCCAAGGTAAGACGTAAACACAGAGATGCCATTTGGGACTAGGATTAGGTATAATCCTTAGGTGGTTTTCACGGTTATAGGGTGGCGTACTCTAGGGAGTGTGAGCTCAAGAAACAATTTGGTGGCACTCATTTTCTGTGGAATACAACTAATCCAGAACAGCTTGACCTTGGAGCCCAGAGGACTCAACTTGACGAAGAGCTTAGTTGGAGCTGAAGTGGCAGAGACCAAATGAATCATATCAAGTGTGGCCATTACGGGGCTGAAGATGATTCCTAATTAATCTCTGATCCTCTGAGGTATCACATTTCCCAAATCTGTGCGTCCATAAGGGAGCCAATGAAAATAAGAGAGCGGCAATTTACCTAATCCTTGAGCACCATGGCAGGCGTCTACTTATGAAGGGCCGTCATTTTCCATGCAACACAAAAACAGTTGTCTACCATTTTCTTAACCAAAGTGAAATAATGAGGGCAAGCTAAATCATTCAGAAGTCTTATTTTGACGACTGTTTCACTAGCAGTGTGTTTACTCTTTCAGGAGTTCCTCAAGTGCACTGTCTGCAGACCTTGAAATCTTGAGAAAAGCTAACAAACTGACTTCTGTTAAGTGGATCCAGTAAATAAATATTGCCTCATTCTAGACCTTAAGTATTAATGGCATAAAGCATTTTATTGCATTTCTATTGCTCTTGTTGTCCAGTGTCCCGTGAGTCTGACCACTCTGCCTCTCCTGTTCTGTTTCCCAGGCATGTCCAGACATCCTCCGGCTCCTGAGATACCCGCCTTCTACCCCCTGTCTCCGGGGGGTGTCGGGCAGATCACCCCACCTCTTGGCTGGTAAGATCCTGCCTGCAGCTTCAGCCAGGCATCTGAACATGCTCTTCTCCTTTCCTTCATGGAAATTAGCTTCATGAGTGATCACACTTGTGGAGTGGAAGAAATTGTACATCAACAAGTGAGGTGCTAACTTTATTTCATTTCAATTTAAAAGATTAGAAAACAGAGAGACTTTGAAATGGATTGAATTCGTTTGCTAATAAGTGTAGAAAATGACTGTGCAGCACTTGCTTTGAAGCTGATAGTTGTACGGATTCTCTTCGTGGCTCTGGGCATTTGCGAGGCCGGGACACAGTGCTCAGTCAGGTGCTGCTTTTCTAGTTTTTATGAGCAAGTTATGTTTTTGAAACATAGACTTAGACACATTGAATATTGGTCTTTGCTTATAAATGGACAAGTGAGGTAAATGACAAATAACTAGAGAGAAATTCAAAACTACAAAAGCATCTTTTGACTTTTAATAAAGTAAGCACCAGATTGAGTTCAGAGAAGTGAAAAACTGACGTTTGGACTTGGTTTTGTTCAGAATCCAAATGCTCTCTATTTTGTTGTATTTCTAAAAAATTCTTAGTGCTACCTTCAAAGTTTTTTAAATTATAATGGTTAGAGGAAAGGAGATAAATTTTAGAAAGAAAGAGGATACGTTTATATAGGGTAGCCTAATTTTATCTTTTTATTTTTAGCACACAACTTTCCCTGCTCCCACTCCCATCCTTCTGCCTCCCTCTCCGCCCCACCACACTCCCTCCAGGGAAACAGCTTCAACCTGAGCGAATGTTTGCTCTCCTTTCTTTACCTGGCACTCTGTCCCCACAAACCCCACGTCACTGCCCCATCTCCCCACCTTGACATCCTTACACTGTCTCTTCTTCAGCAAGGAGGGGTCGCCCAGCCATGGAAATTCTAACTTTCTCTCTCTCTCCCCCTTTAGCAGTAAATCTCTGAGTCGCTAACTTGGTTTGCATTTAATTGATTATGCGTACACTTTCAAACCCACATCAGTTATTCTCTCTGAACTTAGCTGCTTAGGGGCAATAATCCTGTGCCGAGTTGCATCAGTGGCAGCTGGATATAAAGACTATAAATGAAAAATGTGAGATGTGGGAAGAACAGAGGGAGAAACAGAATTCTCAGAGTGGAGAGAATAATTCCAATGACTTGATCTTTGATTTCTAGACTGTAGCGTGGGTATTGGGGGCAGGGAAGGGCAGCGTTTTTAAAATATTTGTTCTTTTTTATATAAATATACATTTCTGTTTACTTCTTTTTCCCTTCCCTAAATTCTCAAAGATTCTGATAAAGAATCCACTCACCTTCTCTGAAGGGACTCTCCCCCCTGTTCCCAGGTTCCATTATGTTATGTTCAGTAAACACTGTTATTGCCTGCTTTGTTCAGAGTGTTAATGGGGTTGGGAGGGGGAAGGATAAAGGATAGGTGATTCCTGGCCCGGTTTGTTTTTAAAGGGGGGGTAAGAGGTGGCCTTCAAGGCAAACGATGCTGTCATTGGGTGGAGGGTAAGGAAGGGAAATGGTGGGGAACGAAGGAAATGCTGTGGTCCTGATGCTCCCACAACCTTCTAGTTGAGTGTCCCCCCCGCCCCCCATCAAACCCTTCCTGCTGGTTGGGGAACCATGTTTTGTCGTTGATGGGTTCCTTTCTTCTGTGACCTCAGGCAAGGTCAGCCTGTATACCCCCTCACGGGAGGACTCAGGCAGCCCTACCCATCCTCACTCTCCGTCGACACCCCCATGTCCAGGTAGGTGGAGGCGGGGACGGGCGCTCAGACAGTTGCTCTTCTTGCGCTTGCATCTCGCACGCCTCTGCTTGCCTCGGAGGGGGTGTAACTCAGCCGCGTGTCTGTCTGTGCAGTGTGCCTGGCTCCCACACTAGGTGTCCCAGTGGTCCCTGTAGGAGCCCTACACTGCACCTCACCACAAGCACGACACGCCCATAGGGAGAGGGACTCAGCCACACCAGAACCCGTGCCCAATTGTGGGACGTGAAGTGTCCCCAAAGGGGACATTGTGAGAAGAGCTTGTTTGATTCAAAATGTGCCAGGGGTGGGCTAAGGGGGAGGATAAGGACTGGTTTGGTCTGAGTTCTGTCTTTTGCTTTCCTTGAGGACAGTTGTATCCGTTAATGCGACAGTGTTTGAAAATAGTCTAGACCCTTCCTGGACCGAGGCTGTCAGAAGAGAAAGAAGGGCGCTCACAGGCCACCCGGCCCCACGGGTGTGTGTCCTAGTGTGCGAATCAGGCCCTGTGTGGACAGGTCAGCGCGGGCGAAGCTCTGTGCGCTCTGCTGTGCACACTGCTGTGTGTAATGCTTCTGCTTTGGGAAGGATGTCTTCTGTGCCGGGGCTGGGCGCGCACACACATTGTGGTGTGTCATCTGTGTGTTCCATGTGGCTTTTTCAAGGGAGCTGGCATTATTGTGCTGGAAGTCAAACTGTTGGGTTAGGGACCGGGTCTGAGTCTTTACTTTTTTTATGTAGTTATGAAATTCACAACTTCTGTGGTGAATTTCAGCTTTAAAAAAAAAAAAAGTTATTTGTTCAGCAAATTGTAAATCTAGCTGGTTGGGAGGGGACCCCCCCCCCCCCAAGATATATCTTTATACTTTTCAATGTTGTAAGAACTATCTGATGACAGGATTTTCTTACAGACCAATAACCAGCATCATGTGTTTTTGCAAATGGTGCATTTAGCAAAGCATCATTATTTGATCAAATATTTGTATTTTTACCATGCCTCCTTAATCTTTTTAAATTTGTTTCTGAAATATTACGTATCCAAGGAGAGTTCCTTCTTCCCTTCCCAGATGAAGGAATTGTACAGACTGTGATGAAAGACCTAAGAGTGTTGTTCTTGTTGAATTAAATGTTTGCTTTGAAAGTTTGAAAAGCAGAAATTTCTGAAGCGTATCTGAATTTATCCGAAGCGCTTGTTGAAAGCACTGTCTTCACTTATTTTATTTTCTTGCATGGCAGTTTCCTCCTTTGTGTTGGATGGTGGTGGATATTTTAAGGTTTTTTTTTTTATGCCCCGCAAACATTCTTGGGGAACAGCCTTGAGCATGTGTCGCTTTGCCTCGACGCAAGACTGTATCCTCCGTTTAATTAAATCCTCCCCTTAATTTTGTTACCAATTTTCCATAAGACTACGTCTCTCAAATGTTCCTTTCTGTGTAGAAAATTGTTTTGGGTGATGGTAATGGCAACCTTCTGAAACCAAGAACTGTGGGAATCTTCCCATCCCTCGCATGGTCAGTCCTTCTCTCCTCACGCTAGTGAAGAAGCCGCCAATACGAGGAGACTCTTAATGGGAGGGTTGCTTCAGGATGTAGGCAGAGATTTTTAAATGTGACGTCTTTAGCTTTTATTTAAAATTCATTTAAAAAGCTAACTGTTAATAAAGTGTTATATTTCCAATAATTTTTCTTATGGAAACTCTTCTCTAAAACTGCTTTGCAAGAAAAGTGACTCACTTTTTTTTTTTTTATCCTATGGCCAAGAGCCCTCCCAGGAAAATGCCAGATTCTACTGTTAGTTTGGAAGAAAATTTGTTCTACAGGGAATAGTTAGAAATATTTTCCACCTGAATACAGAAGGGAAAGAGACTACTCATCAGCCCACTGGTTTACAGTTAATCCTCCTGGGTATATCAGGATGTGTCTCCACCCTCAGCCAACAGCAGGCAGTGGATGGTCTCGAGACTCCGTCCAGCTTTTGCAACAACAGCCACTAGTACATACTGTTTTCTTCTCTTTCCTTCTTTTAGGTTTTCCCACCATATGATTCCTGGTCCACCTGGTCCCCACACAACTGGCATCCCTCATCCAGCCATCGTAACACCTCAGGTCAAGCAGGAGCACCCCCACGCTGACAGCGACCTAATGCACGTGTGAGTACTGCGTCTGGTTTCTCCTGTGACGGCCGTGAGGACTTGACGGCAGTTTCTCCTCTGCTCTCGTGGAACCTTCCCTCTCTCTATCACTGTGAAAACCGGTGTAGCTCTGACCCCGAGGACATTAAGCAGCTGAGTTGTCACTGTGCTGATTTTGATTCTGAGATTGGAAAGGAGCACAGACCTCAGAAGATGAAGCTCACAAGCAAGGAGTCATCCTCAGAGCGTGGCTTGGAAGAGTCTGGAGCCCTCCAGCCCTGTGCGGCCGGCTTTATGGGCTCTGATGGCGGGGAAGCACCTGCCGGCACCTGAGGGCGGTAGATTGGGAGGGTTCAGTGCATGTCCTGTGTGAATGCCCTCACCCGCTTTGAGGCTTCAAAGCTCAGGGTTCAGGGTTCAGAAGGCCAGCCCAGGACTCCCTCGGGGGCCAGGTTGTGTCAGGTTGTTACAGCAGGGCTGAGGTCCCTGAAGACATTGCTGATTGGGTTTCTTAATCTGGGGTTTGTAGACTGGGACGGGAGGATGGGTGACAGGGAGCATGGGATCGTCCAGAAAACCCAAATGGAGGCAAGGCCAACATGCTTTCGTTTGGGGAGAGAGTCTAAGTTTCACCAGCTCCTAAAGGGCCTTGACCCCCAGAGTTAAGAACCTCAGTTCTGCAAGGGGAATGGCCACCCATACGAGGTGTTCACCTTTTCCTGAGGTGACCCAGGAGCTCAGCCTCAGGGCCCTAGATGGAGCATCTTCACAAACCCCTTTCCGTGTTGTATTATAAACACTTCTACAGCTGTCGGTAAACTTTCTCAAGCCAAAGGGTCCTTATTCAGAGTCCTGAGTCCCTCTTCTAAGTTGACAGTGTTCTGGGGCCTGTAGACAGCTGGGAGGGGTGTCTCCAGCCTGGGTCTGACTGAAGAGGTGAACAGATGCTCTCCTTCTCTCCTCCCATCTTTTCCTCATCCTGTCCACCCCATCCCCTGACACCACCACACCCACCTTTTAGGAAGCCTCAGCATGAACAGAGAAAGGAGCAGGAGCCAAAAAGACCTCACATTAAGAAACCTCTGAATGCTTTTATGTTATACATGAAAGAAATGAGAGCCAATGTCGTCGCTGAGTGTACTCTGAAAGAAAGTGCAGCTATCAACCAGATTCTAGGCCGAAGGGTAAGTGGTGGCGTGGCGGGTGAATGTTCATGGAGCCATGAGCTGCTCCGTTCAGATCTGCCCAGTGTGCATCCATGTCGGGGTCATAGAAGGTGTAATCGTCAGCTGCTTGGGGAGTAACAGAGAGAACCAACCAGACCTGACAGTCACCTTTAAGAGGATCAAATAACAGTGCCTTGTAAACAGCAAGCTAGTTCCTGGCACACAGAAAACTTCCTGTAAATGGTACGTGCTTTCCCTGTTGCTATTCTTTAAGAGAACAAATACGAATGGAGTGTCGTTATGTACCAGGCACAGTGGTAGGCAGTAAGTAATTGCTGAGTAAAAAAGATATGGTCCTTGCCTTCACGGAGCTTAAAGTTTTGTGACAGGATGCAGATATTAGACGAATAATTATCCGATAACTATGTAATTAAAATTGTGATAAATGCTGTGAATATGAAAAGCAAGATTCTGTGAAAAAGAATAACAGGGGCCTAGGGAAAGGCCTGTCTGAGGAAATAGTATTTAAGCTGAAAACTGAGAGGGGTAGGGGTTCACCATGGGACGAGTGGGGAGGGTGGACCGTCCGCAGATGACCTGACTGTGTGCACACTCTGCCCAGGACGAGTAGGGAGGGTGGACTGTCCGCAGATGCCATGATTGTGTGCACACTCTGCCCAGGACGAGTAGGGAGGGTGGACCATCCGCAGATGCATGGACTGTGTGCACACTCTGCACGGGACGAGTGGGGAGGGTGGACCATCTGCAGATGACCTGACTGTGTGCAGACTCTGCATGGGATGAGTGGGGAGGGTGGACCGTCCACAGATGCACTGACTGTGTGCACACTCTACATGGGATGAATGGGAGGGTGGATTGTCTGCGGACGCACTGACTGTGTGCACACTCTACATGGGATGAATGGGAGGGTGGATTGTCCGCGGACGCACTGACTGTGTGCACACTCTACATGGGATGAATGGGAGGGTGGACTGTCTGCGGACGCACGGACTGTGTGCACACTCTACATGGGATGAATGGGAGGGTGGATTGTCCGCGGACGCACTGACTGCGTGCACACTCTACATGGGATGAATGGGAGGGTGGATTGTCTGCAGACGCACGGACTGTGTGCACACTCTACATGGGATGAATGGGAGGGTGGATTGTCTGCAGACGCACTGACTGTGTGCACACTCTACATGGGATGAATGGGAGGGTGGATTGTCTGCAGACGCACTGACTGTGTGCACACTCTACATGGGATGAATGGGAGGGTGGACTGTCCGCGGACGCACTGACTGCGTGCACACTCTACATGGGATGAATGGGAGGGTGGACTGTCCGCGGACGCACTGACTGTGTGCACACTCTACATGGGATGAATGGGAGGGTGGATTGTCCGCGGACGCACTGACTGTGTGCACACTCTACATGGGATGAATGGGAGGGTGGATTGTCTGCAGACGCACGGACTGTGTGCACACTCTACATGGGATGAATGGGAGGGTGGATTGTCTGCAGATGCACTGACTGCGTGCACACTCTACATGGGATGAATGGGAGGGTGGATTGTCCGCGGACGCACTGACTGTGTGCAGACTGAAGCAGGACGGCACTGGTCCCACGGAGGGAGCTACGGGAAGGGTTTGTGGGACCAGCCATGCTTCTGGATGAACCCCGGCAAACAGAGCTGGCCACTCCTCCCAAGACAGAAGCAGATCTGTTCTACCCAGAAGCTTTAAATGGAAGGATTTCTATGGGCCGCAGACGTCTTTATTCTAGAAAAATCGCTCTGATTCTTAAAGGGTACATGTGCCGGTTTCTGGATTGCCCATTTTCTTGTCATTCCTTCTTTTGGCTATGCTGAGATGTTTTTCTGAGCACCCATCATGCAACAGGCGCTAGGCTACTGGACCAGGACTCTAGGATTTCTTTATCCGTCCACCAGCCCAGTGGCTTATCAGTCCTAGGCACTTTCCTCAGGAATGAAATGGTTTTACTTAGTATCTGAAGAGTGCTGGAGAAAATTTGAATTTTTCTAATTCAAATTGCGTTTTCACTGTAATTACACTGTAATTTTAGAAATTCTGCATCTTAATTTGTTGATGCTTTTCCTATATGTGTGGTAGCTTCTTAAATTATGACCTTGTGTTTTTGTTTTTGCAACCTCTCAAGAAACTGATGAACATTCATGAGGAGGGTTTAACAGCCTTCATGAAACTTAGAGGATCGTGTTTTAGCTGTTGTTGATAATTTTCACATATTTGTTCCAAACCTAATACATTTCAGCATTTATAAGAGAAAACATTCTGGAGATTTCCAGTCCCTGACAACAGATGGAGGAAAGCAGACTCCTGCGTTATCGATTCCTGTTGGAGAGCATAAAAACACAGCTCTTTCCAATCTGCCAGACACCAGGGTTCCGGGGGTGGGTGTGGTGCTAGATTATAGCTATTTTGGTGCCCTGTGTACAATACTCTCTCTCCCTGTGGATTCTTAAACACTTAATAACAATAATTACAATGATTTCCCAAGCCAGATCCTGGCAGATGAGCAATTCCCATCATCTTTGAAGAACCCTGCCTTAAAAGCATAGCGGCTGATGAGCGTTTCCCCTGACCCTTTAAAAGAAGAAATCAGAGGAAAAGAAGGACTGATGTTCTTATTTCAGCTCCTGTAAAACTCTTAGCTTTTTTTCTTTTTCAAGTTAAAGGTCCCCTGGCCCTCCAGCGGGAATTATTTTCCTGCTCAAGAGAGTGAGTAAGGATATGACATGGAGGCGTGCTTCCTATTTTCAATGCACGTTTCTAACAATTGTTACTTTCTCAGCTTCCTTAACAATCCCCAGATCAGAGCATGTGTCCAACAGGATGGTTCTCATTTGGGGTCTCCCTCTGTCTTTGATTTGGACACCTGTTTCTATTTATAGGTCTCTGAGATCTTTGATTAAGCTCAGCTTTTCTGTCCTTTCATAACTCCCCTCTGGCAGGGGAGTCCTTGCTGGCTCTTCAAAGTTCCCGGCTTTAAAATCATGAAGTTTTACACTGGGATAATTAGAATTCTTAAAAGTGGAACTTAAATCCATCGTGCAACATTTTATCTGATTTTTATTGATCTTTACTGTATCTCTAAAATAGAAATGTTCATTCATATGAATTAAAGTTTTCTTCTTCATATTATAGATAATAATAACACAAATCTTACTTTAAAGTAAGCTTTTTCTTTTCAGACCTTCCAGGGTCTTAAAAGAAGTCCATTTAGTACAAATTTACTGTCAGAATTTTTTAACTGCAGAACTGTCTTCAAATTAAATGGGTATTTTCCCAACAACTTGGTAAAACCTTGACAATGAAATTAGATTTTTTTTTTTTTTAAAATCAACTCTTAGCTTTTCAGTAAATGAGACAGAAAAGCATTTTTAGTCAGTTGTGTTTCAGAAATTCCTATAAAGACAGACCATCTTTCTAGTTTGTGCTAGATTTTAAAGTTTTCAATGCGAAACTTTAAAGCCATCGTTTTGCCCGATGATTTTCTCTGGTAAACGCTCTTTTATTTGTGAGTACGTTTTTTGGCGTTAGAAACATCAGGGAACTAAGAGCAGTTGAAAAGGCGGGTGAGCGGTTTATTCTGTGGCCTGCTCTGTCTCCTTGCATTTTGCTGAGTTTCGTTAGCTGGGTCCCTTTGTCACCCTGAGTTTCCTGCTGTAAAAATACCTGGCTGTTTAACTGGTTGTTTGGGTAGAAGACTCAACCTCCATTTGTATTTTGGGAGATGTGTTGTTTACACTTCCAGGTTTTCTTAGCAAGTTATTAAGTTGCCATAAATTATATAAAGTCTTGCTGATATATTGGAGGAGGATAAGAGAGATTATTTATCAAGTGAACAGACAAATTTATAAAGTAAGGCTTCCATCCTTTCTTAACTTTTCTTCCTTTTTGGTAACAACTTTGCCTCTTGTCGATCACATTAGCACCAGAACTGTGTCAATAGTAACCATCAGTTTTTTCTCAAAAAAAGAAAATCGAGGCCGATCTTTTCTGTTGTGTCCAGTTGGCACTGTCCCCCTGTGATGGTCCCTAGGACAGGTGTGTGTCTCACATTTAGAAAGGCCATTGCCAGCGGAGACAGTCGACCTCTCCTGCAGTCTGCACGGTAGCCACTGCCCCAGACGTCCTCCTGGGCGTGGCTGGGCCCGCTGGGCCCGCCCCGCCCTACGCAGAGCCATGTCTCAACAACTTTCTTCAGACTTTTTTCTGCCACCTCCCCTTCCCCCCTTCCTTTTTAAGGAAAGCATTTTGCCTGATTTGCCCTTAGGCTCAGGCCGAGTCCCGCAGTGTTGTGCTCCTTAACTGTGCACTCCGCGCTTGTAAAGCAGTTGAGGTTAGGTCGTCCTCCTTGCCCAGCACCGAGCCCCGGCCTCTAAGGGGCTCTCGAGAGCCGTGCAGTGGAGCCCTCCAGCTGGGCTCGGGGCATCCCCGCTGAGGCTGGAGTGCATGTGGTGCTGTGGCCCAAGGGCTCAGTGCTCTTCTTGACATCAGGGTCTCGTTCTCCCAGCCAACAGCAGCCGCAGGGCCTTCTGCTTTCTTCAGGAAATCTTCCTGGCCGTGCCTGACAGGCTGCATGCAGGGGACGAGGACTTCTCCTCTCTCACCAACCTGTCCCTTGCTCCTCCTTGCTCTCCCCAGTCCAGCCACACCTTTCTTTTCTTTTTCTTATGACTTTTAAAAGCAGGAAGAGGAAAATTAAAGTCAAATGTAGGATGGACATGAAGGAGAAAAAATCACGTGGCTTTGAATGGGAAGGAAGTGACCTGGAGAGCTCCACACCCCAGAGCTGGGAGAGCAGGGGTCCGGAGGCCCCGGCTGTGTGAGAGCACGCATGCATGTGCGTGTGTATACATACACATGGTGCGGGCTCGGGTCTACTCCTCCTGTAGCCACTGCCTCTGTGCCATTACCTCCAGCCAGTGGATCCCCCAAAGCCCAACCCGTTGTCCTGGGAGGTTCTGTTGACAGGTCCTGGCATTTGGGAAATAGGGACAATACTAGAAAACTACCTACTTGGGACCTGGGGCAAGTTGTGTGCAGACACATGCAAAGCGATGTGCAAATATAAGGGGCTTAAAATCCCCAACAGACACCTGCCTCCATCAGCTGTTGTGCTGTGTGTGCTATAAATCAGTTAGATACCAGGGAGATGGGAGGTTTGCAGGATATCAGCCCCTGCTTTCTCCACATCAGATACTACAGTCTCCAATTCCACATGGCAAAATAAACTCAGATAATGCTCCTTGCTTTCCATCAGAAGGAAGCTAAAAGCCCCGGCCATAAAGCGTGCATGTGTGATTGTGCCGCGTCCTCCCCACAGACGAGGAGCGTTTCTATGAGTGTCAGGAGGGGTGAAGACCCTGAGGCACACACACTGACTTCTGACATCCTGCTGTTGAGACAGGACCATCTGATGGAGGCTTCAGACTCTCTGTGTGACACGGTGGGGGAGTGTCCATGGAGGCAAGGCAGGATGTGTCTGTGTGGAAAAGACATCTGGAATTACCAGATTTTGCATAAATAAATGGTGTTCGGGCTCAGATATCAGAATGTGCTACAAAGGGAAGAAGGGCTGACTGGGTGTTGAGGTGCACCGGGGAAAGCACTTTCTAATCAATGCTGGACCGAGGAGTGGGCGCAGCTCGCTTGTTTCGGACGCTGTCATTGACTTGGATATGTCTCAGGTGCCGTTGAAGAACAGGACCCAAAAAACCAAAGTTTGAGTTTCTCTCTCGCCACCAGACCCCAAGTGGGTTTCAGTGGCACTTGGTCTTCTTCCCATTTAAAGATAAATCAACGCTTAAATGCTTAATGTTTTCATTCTTTAATGTTTGAAACATGAAACATGTAATAATGTTGCTGTTCTGCTCACTGTCATTTGATTTTTTTCCCTCCTTTAGTGGCACGCCCTCTCCCGTGAAGAGCAGGCTAAATATTATGAATTAGCGCGGAAGGAGAGACAGCTACATATGCAGCTTTATCCAGGCTGGTCTGCAAGAGACAATTATGTAAGCCCCTTCTGCATCCAGCGCGCCCGCTCTCCCCCCTCCTCCTCTCTCTCTGGCTTTCCGTGAAGGAAGTGTGTTTTAGGTGTATCTAATGCTGGTACTATTTCCTGCTTTTGGAAGTTAATGAACTTTGCAATAAAGATTTCATGGATATGTCGCATTTTGAAAGCTTTGAGGTGTCCTAATTATTCTTTTTGGCTATACATGCTAATGAATTTTTTAGAGTAAAACTTTTAACAAAAATCTTATCGTTAAAACATTTGTGATAAGGATTTTTTTTAATCCCATAATCTTGTCATGTAAAGGCAACTTAGTAATAACTAGTTACATTACCTTCCAGGATTTTTTCTGTGCATATGTTTTTATTTTTTACTTGTTTATAAGTGTGTATGTGGGGGGGGGTGTGTACATACACTTTTGTGTCATGCTTCTTGTTCATATAGAATAAGCATTTTTCTGTTACGACAATGTTTCTGTGTCCGTTTTAATGGCTATACATTTCATTGAGTGAACGTCACAATTTACTATTTTTTCCTACTGTTAGACATTTAAGTTGATTTCTATTTTTTACAGCTGGAAATAAGCCTGCAATGAACATACCTGTGCGTAACAGTTTTGTCTGTATTTAGGACTATTATTTCTGTAGGATAGAATCAGAGTAGTGGAATTGTTGAGTTAAAGGAAACAAATATTTTAAAGGCTCTTGATACATATTGTCAAATGGTTTTCCGAAAGGATTATATTATTTTACAATTCTTATAAACAATGTATTCAAGTGACTGTTTTGCCACAGGCTAATTAGAACTGGATAAAAAAAATTTATTTCATATTAATGTACCCTGCTGTCTATTGTGTATTTTCAGATAGAGTGGATATTATATTTTTTAAGTTATACTAATTTTATTGGCAAAATATACCTCATTTATATTGCCGTTATTTTATTACTTTAGAGTTTGAACATTTTACTAATGTAGTTTTAATACAGCAAGGACTATTTCTGAGAAAGTGTAAGTGATGTATTAGTTTTATCATACTTTATAGAGGAGGATAATTTTGATTGTTTAAGCTCTTAATTTAAAATTTTCAAGATCATTTTCATCTTCCATGCGAGACTAGTATGTGAAATGCCAGCCAGGACAGCCTTAATATTAAGTGGAATTGTCCCTTTTAAAAAAGGTGAGGTGGGGCCGGTCCCATGGCATAGTAGTTAAGTCTGGTGCATTCTGCTTCAGTGGCCAGAGTTCACGGGTTTGGATCCCAGGCACCAGACCTACACCTCTCTTCAAGCCATGCTGTGGCAGTGACCCACATACGAAATAGGGGAAGATTGGCACAGACGTTAGCTCAAGGCTAGTCTTCCTCACCAAAACAAAAAAAAAGGCGAGGCGGAAGCCATTAATCAATATTTAATTTAATGAGTGGCCATTGCCATGGATGGATGATCCTGTGGGGTTGCATCTGTGAGGTCATCCATCCCATATAATGAGACGCCAACACTTCTGGAACATATTTCTTTCCTGTAACATGCTCTGAAGAAGAAGTCGCTGCTGCTCAGGATTCGGTGCTCAATCAAACCTTGGATCCAGCCATGATGTGGAAGTCAGAGTCCTCTTGTTTGTTGCTTCTGAGCAGCAGCTCAGTGGACTCACCTGAGTCGTTGCTTTGGGTGTTTTAATAACTACCAGATGCCGAGCGTCAAGAACTGTCTTAAATGCTTTTTGTGTTGTTTTCTGATCCTCATGATAATCCCACGGCATAAACAGTATTATTGTATCTTACACATGAGGGAAAGTGAGGGGCTGGGGAGGGTAAGTGATCCGTCCAAGACCGTGTAGTGGCTAAGCTGCAGGTCAGCCCAGGTCTCCCCGTCCTCACAGTGGATGTGGTTTCCCTTCTCCAGGGCGGACTAGCTCAGTCTCCCAGTGCTTTCTTCAGAAGACTGCTTTACTTAGAGTTTTCTCCTCTGAACGAGGCTTCTGTTCTCTGGGCAGTAATTAGCATCTTTCTGCATAGAGCCTCTGCAATGCCCTTTGAGTGGGAAGATCAATCTCCCACCTAAAGAGTTTCAAAAGTGCCCGCTCCCCACCCACCCCTGGTCCTGGATCTCTTTGGATGCTGTTTACCTAAAGGGAGAGTGACCTTCCCTCTTTGACCCATGGAAGAGCTTGGCTGTGCTGTGACTTTGCATAGATTTATTAGCACTGCTTGTTCAGCATCTTCGAATGAAGTTTCTGTTTCTGATCCCTAAGTAAAGGAGTGGCTTTTCACTTTTTAAAAGAGTTAACACATATTCTCTCTCGTGCTCGCTCTCTCTCCCTTTCTCCATGTGGAGAAATGGGAAGAAAGTAGTTTTAAAGAAAGCCAGTGTAATGTGAATTTACCTTTAAAGATTTTCCTCCGCTCAATTTTTTTCCCACAATTTTTAAAGGAAATTGTTTTGCTTAACTTGATTTTATGATCCTCCTTGAATGAAGGGGAAACCCTGCTTTGCTACATACAATTTTTATAATAATCAAAATAAACCTGTTAGTAAGGAAACAGAAGTCAGTCACGTGGTAGCACTTTAGCTGAGGGTGTCCTTAAAATGACAGTGTGGGCAGAGAGTCGAACAAGATGCAGGCCTGTATCTTAGCCTCAGTGTCAGAGTGCTATCCTGGTCCTCTCTGAGATCATATTAAGTATATATCTCAATGATTTAATATTAAAATGCCCTATTCTATGACATCATAGATTTTAGAACTTTGTCTTTATAACCTGTTTTTTATAACTTTTATAACTGAAGTCCTTGTAAATCAGCAGTGCACATATTTTCTTAGGTGAGATCAGTAAGGCATTTTTGTATCGTTAGAGCTCTTAAATTTAGTGCTTAATAACCCCAGCACAGTCAGGCATCGCTTAGTGACGGGGACACGTTCTGAGAAAGGCAGAGTCATCGTGCAAACATCATAGGCTGTGCTTACACAAACCTAGATAGTACAGCCTGCTGCACGGCACGCCTAGCTCTGTGGTACTAATTTTCCGGGACCACCCTCATATATGCGGTCCATTGTTGACCAAAACGTCATTATGTGGCACATAACTGTATTACATGTAATTTCAATGAAAAATATTTTTATGTTTACCATACATGAATTTCATTTTTTATCTAAGTTGACATTAATACCTCTAAACTGTGTAGGTCTTTTTGTCTACCATAGATGCAGATTCTCTTGGAATTCTGGTTTATACCTAGAATATAGCATAGGTTATTTCAGAAAACCCCTCAGGCCACCGTCACGTGGTCTAGGCCTGTGCCACTCAGGTGGCAGAGACGAGCTGAGAGACTCAGGCCATGTGGCGGGGGGCCCTCACAGCACCTGTGAAGAGTCAGCTTATGGTGGTGAGCTCTGCCTGAGGGCGGTGGAGGGGTCTGGAAGGTTCCCGGAAGAGGTGACACTTGGGAGCCAGGAGGAGAAAGTGAGGAAGGAGGTTCCAGACACGTGGACCAAGGTCACAGCGCATGAAACCATAGTGACTGTGAGAGGAAGAGAGCCATGCCTGTGAGAACGCGCTCTCCCTCCCTCTGCCCCCTCCCCCTGGAGGACCTCTCACCGTCCTAAAGAAGACTGCTTCATTTTTGACAGGCCGGAGTATCTGCTGTTGGCCTCCGTGTTTGTGAGGATAGTTTCAGTCAACTTTCCAAAGCTTTAAAGCCTCAATGGTCAGGTCACATGACACGAAGAAAAACTATCTTTTATATTCTTACACAGTACATTCAGTATGAGCTTATTTTCATGTTTTGTTTGTTAATGTGATTATTACGGCAGACATAAGATAGAGATACTGGATGTGGTATGTGTTTTCTTCCAGTTATTTGAAAATACCATCCTAATCCAGGTCGGTCATTTGCTCTTCATGTAAATCGAATATATGCCATGTCTGTGCCCTTTTACAGTTATCGTTTGAGGGCAAAGTAATTATGAAGAAAAACGGAAAATTAGACCACTATTAAATGGGACCTAAAGTTGTCAATTGGTGTTTAAGGTGATTTTGAAATGTATTGAAATGTAAAGTTGCATACATATCCACGTCACTGTGTCTGTGTTAGGAAGCCAGGTCCTCACCTGCCAGTAATAGTCTTCCCCGTACGCTGCTCTCGGTCATGTCCTGCCTGTGCCACGGGGCCGGCGCCTCAGTTAACGTTGGGAGTGTTTAATTACATGGTGGGATTCACAGCGAGGAGGCCCCACCATGAACACCACTGGGAGTGGGTTCCGCATGTGGTGGTTCGTAATGGAAGGCAGGCCTCCCAGTGGGCTTTCCTCGGAGGCAGCTCTGGGGCCACAGCCCTGTGATGTCACGCTCCTGGTATGAATGTGAGACGGCTCCCACGTCAGTACTGAGGATGCTGACTGTGAAGCTGTGGAGACAGAGGGCACAGAGAGGGAGGACCCATCTTCTCTCTCCCTCGCGCTGGCTGTTTCTTGGGAAATGGGAGAGAGAGGGAGGGCGAGGCTCTTTTCCTCTCTGAGGACCCCCTGCCTGTCGTGTGTCATGTTCAGCCCCATGCTCACAGTCTGTAACGTGACGTGTGCCTCTCTTCCAGGGTAAGAAGAAGAAGAGGAAGAGAGAGAAGCTGCAGGAGTCCACGTCAGGTAGGCGCCATGCACTTGCAGCCCGTGCCTGCTAGGCGGCCTGCTCTGTCCACACACTGCTTTATCCTCCGCTGTGACTCGTGCTTCTTCACTCTGCTTTTCTTCCTGAAATTCCTTAAATGTGTTTAAAAGACCTTTCTTTTAAATGTGAAGGTTGTTTTTCATTCTGTTTTTGCTTTTATTGTCTTTGTTTTCTTTGCTTGAACACTTCTGCTGTTTTTCTATTTGCAAAACTCACAAGAATATTTTTTGTGATGATTCTCTAATGTGCTGCTACCTATGTCCCCTTGAGAATCCTTTCTGTGGTTTGGGTTGTTTAAAAATGGCAAACATGATGTTAGGGTTGACCTTTCCTGTCTGTTAATTCAAGGCATCGATCACTGAGGTCCTGGTTATGTCCCCTTTTTCTTTCATTAAAAATAAGGCCCCTACTTGTGCTGCACAGATAAAAATGGCCGGTGTAAGAACCATGAAAAGTAAAGCAGACAAGTGCACACGATGTTGTAGCTGCTGTTTGCAATGTACAAAACCCTCTTCAATAAAAGTTTGTTAAAGACACAATTTTCTGCAGGTACAGGTCCCAGAATGACAGCTGCCTACATCTGAAACATGGTAAGAACGACTCTCTGGTCCTCCTGCTGACGTTGGGTGTAAACAGAGGCACGTGCTTGTGGCTCTTCTTGCTCACACCAATGCCATTCGACATCGCTCCTTTAAGAAGAAACTCCACCAAAGTCAAATTAGCGCTTTAAAAAATCTGATGGTTTTGATGCCAGCTGGGTGTTTGCGATGTAGCATGTAGCTTGTCTTCCTCTTCTTCCCTTTCTGCCCCTTTGATCTTGCTCCATAGCCTCCCCGATCTTCTCTGCCATTCCTTGCTGACCAGTGGCAAATCCACCTGCTTAATGACAAGAACAGAAACCATCCAGCACAGTGCCGTCTTACTCTGCCAGCCAGGGCTGCGTGTGAGGAGCCCGGCCTGCACCAGCCCGGGACGCAGCAGGTCTTGCTCTGTAGACGTCTTCCCAATTGAGATGATAATAGACATTTAAATGGAACCTACTTGTTTCTAATAAGAAAGATAGGCGTGCTTCATTTTTTCTGTTATTGAAAAATACGGCCTGGGCGCTTATTTGAGTAACTGTGTTCTGCTATCAAGAGTGTTTCATTATTGGTAACCATTGCTAGATCTCACTCTAGTATTGATAGGTAATGTTTATTTCATTTGTTTTTGCTATAATTGTCTTATGTTGACCACGTGAGCACCAGCCCAGGTGGGAACCTGGCTTTGAACCTGGCTCCCTCTCTAGGGCTAACATCCAAGGCCTGTCAGTTCTCTTCTGAGTCTGTCTTGAGTCTCACTTTCCTCTCACACTCATCGCTGCCACAGCCCCAGCTCAGGTGCTCAAACTTCCCATCTGGATTATCGTAAGAGCCTTGGGATAATTTCCCTGCTCCAGACTTCCTTCCTGCCAGTTCATCCTCCCTGTTGCTCCCAGAGGGATTTGCTAAAACACAGGTTGCTTGTGTCACTTCCCGACTTGCAGACAGCCAGTGCTTTTCACAGTCTGCAGACTGAAGTGCAGACCCCCACGTGCGGATCTGCCCCCACCCACCCCCACAGTCCTGCCTTTGCTCACTCTTGCCCTCGGCCTCTCCTTGCTTCCGCCCGAGCTCTTCTGAGTCCCATGCTCAGTCCAGACTAAATTATTAGCAGTTTCCCAAATAGATGTTGGCCGCCACACCTGCTGCCCGCCCCTGTGCTTGGACCCCGGCTCCCCTGCCAGAGGACGGATGCTCTGCACACTCTGTCTTAGAAGAAGAGCGTTGGCCTGCAGGTCGTCTGGTTCTTGGCTAGAACCGGAGGAGCCCACTCAATCTTTTAGAACTTAATTTTGGTGCTGAAATTTCAGCAGACTTTGCAAAGGAGACTGCAGAGGTTTTTGGTACCAGGTAGATCAGAGTTTCAGATCAGCTGTTTGCCAGGGCGATCTGCTTCAGCTTTCTCATCGTTTTTCTCATCCGTGAGATGGGAATAACATCACCGACCCCCGCACTGTCTGCGTGTCGTCCTTGCCCCCATGTCCCTCCGCCCCTTACCACGCTCACTCGGCCTCAGCTTCCTGAGCTCTGGTCAGGCTCCCCAGGTTCTTCAAAATTCCATCATTGTAGTTTTTGGATATCAAAACTCTTCTAAACTAATGCTGAGAGGCAGGCTTTTCTTCGAGTGAAAAGACGATCATCCCTTCATAGGTGACCAAACAAGGTATCCAAAAATATGGCAGACCATGTCCATATTTAACTTCACATCTGTGAATCGCGGCCTCTTCTGAGCTGGCCTCCCTGCCCCCGGGAGCTCCTGGTGTCCCAGCGGAAGTTAGTCCAGTAGCGAGCACATACACAGGCTTCTGCATTATGGTTTTTTTTTGCATTTTTGTCCTCTTAATGACTGAGCACGTGAGTGAGGACAGAGTCCTTCCACGCTCTGCCTCTAAGTGGAAAACCCTCCGAGTGCGATGTGCTTGGGGCCACATTCGTTGATTTATACTCCATCTTTGGTTTGCACCAAATCTTTAATGCTATTTCTATTAAAAATCACACAGAAATGTATTTCTTTACTTCAGACTTTGGTATTCGATTTTATGTCTTTACTGGTGAACACATGTATTTTAGAGTTGAAGACTGGGCTGAGTGTATCTTTCTCCTAGGATGTATCCCAAACATCTTTCTTTTTTTTAAGTAAGATTATGATAGTTAACAACCTTGTGAAATTACAGTTGTACATCATTATTGTCATGTTGTAGGTACACCACTTCACCCCTAGTGCCCTCCCCCCACCCCCCCTTTCCCCTGGTAACCACCAATCAGTTCTCTTTGTCTATATGTTAACTACCACCTATGAGTGGAGTCATACAGAGTTCGTCTTTCTCTGTCTGGCTTATTTCACTCAACATAATACCCTCAAGGTCTATCCATGTTGTTGTGAGTGGGATGACTTTGTCCTTTTTTATGGCTGAATAGTACTCCATTGTACATATATACCATATCTTCTTTATCCAATCATCAGTTGCTGGGTGCTTAGGTTGGTTCCATGACTTGGCTATTGTGAATAATGCTGCAATGAACATAGGGGTGCATGGGACTTTTGGAATTGCTGATTTCAGGTTCTTAGGATAGATACCCAGTAGTGGGATGGCTGGGTCATAGGGTATTCTATTTTTAACTTTTTGAGAAATCTCCATACTGTTTTCCATAGTGACTGCACCAGTTTGCATTTCCACCAACAGTATATGAGGGTTCCTTTTTCTCCACAGCCTCTCCAACATTTGTCACTCTTGGTTTTGGATATTTTTGCCATTCTAACAGGTGTAAGGTGATACCTTAGTGTAGTTTTGATTTGCATTTCCCTGATGATTAGTGATGATGAGCATCTTTTCATGTGTCTATTTGGCATCCATATATCTTCTTTGGAGAAATGTCTGTTCATGTCCCCTGCCCATTTTATGATTGGGTTGTTTGATTTTTTGTTGTTGAGCTGTGTGAGTTCTTTATATGTTATGGAGATTAACCCTTTGTCAGATAAATAACTTGTAAATATTTTTTCCCAATTAGTGGGCTGTTTTTTGTTTCAATCCTGTTTTCCCTTGCCTTGAAAAAGCTCTTTAGTCTGATAAAGTCCCATTTGTTTCTTCTTTCTATTGTTTCCCTCGTCTGAGGGGTTATGGTATCCGAAAAGATTCTTTTGAAGCTGATGTCAAAGAGTGTGCTGCCTATATTCTCTTCTAGAAGACTTATTGTTTCAGGCCTAATCTTTAGGCCTTTGATCCATTTTGAGTTTATTTTAGTGAATGGTGAAAAAGAATGGTCGATTTTCATTCTTTTACATGTGGCTGTCCAGTTTTCCCAGCACCGTTTGTTGAAGAGACTTTCTTTCCTCCATTGTAGGTCCTCAGCTCCTTTGTCGAAGATTAGCTGTCCATAGATGGGTGGTTTTATTTCTGGGCTTTCAATTCTGTTCCATTGATTTGTGCACCAGTTTTTGTACCAGTACCGTGCTGTTTTGATTACTGTGGCTTTGTAGTATGTTTTGAAGTCAGGGATTGTGATGCCTCCAGCTTTGTTCTTCTTTCTCAGGATTGCTGTAGCAATTCGGGGTCTTTCGTTGCCCCATATGAATTTTTAGGATGTATCCCAAACATCTTTTTTCTTTTTTAAAAAAAAATAACTCACAGCTGTCATTGTACTTTCTTGTCACTTATTTTTTCTCAAGGTTGTAGTGTCCCCTCTGCTCTAACCAGAAAAACAAAACAGTGCCCCTCTGTCACCAACAGCCTGCTGAGGCTCTGTGGGGGGCTTCACTCAACCCCAGTCTGTGTCCTGGCCCCCTCTCGTTGCTGGGTCAGTCACAGCGTCTCTCACTGCCAGGAGAGCAGCACTGACCGTCGTTTGAGATTTGTGGAGCAGACGGCCGCTCAGCCTGGCCTTCCTAGAGGTTTCAGGGTGTTAGGGTGACGTGTTCCTACCGCTCCCTGACTCCGGATTTGTTTTAGGCATTCAGAACCTTCTGTGTGTGGCGTCCACTTGTTGAGGCATCATCAGCATTTATTAAACACCTGATAAACGCCAGATTGCATCGCAAGACCTGGAAATGCAGTGTCAGATGAGGCACGAAGGTCCCGCTTCTCGTGGTGCTCACGGTGCTATGAGGGCAGTGCATAAAAAATGGGCAGACGGTACCAGGGCTGGGATAACAATAAGACGGCTGGTGACTTGGTCTGCTGTAGGCTGGGTGGTCAGGACAGGGCCCTTCTGAGGAAGTGACACTTGGTAATAGCCAGTCATCATCCCTGAAAAGCAGGGGATGTTCTGTGTATGGCGCTGGAACAGAGCAGTGACAAAGAAATGGAGGACAAGGGACCGAGCGGCGTGTTGTCAGAAGAGCTTAGACTGGGGAGGCGGCCACGCACACGGTGGCCCGGGGCGGGCAGGAGGGGAAGGCCTGTGTCATGGCCCCTCAGAGCCCCCGTCCGCTCGCTCCCCGTATCTGCACTGCCCCCCAGTGTTGTTAAAGAGACTGCGCCTCCACTGTACCGCTGCGGCCCTCGCTCCCTGAGCGGTTCCGAGTGCCTGGCAGGCCCTGTGCCATCTTGAGGGCGATGTGGACACGGTGTGGGGGTTCCTCTCCGGTGCCCCCTCTCCTCCCCGGTGGGCCTCTCACGGTCCGGGACTTGGAAGCGGTGCCTCTGCTTTGGGGGCTTGAGTCTCCACTGACGTGATCATATGTGGTCCTTGTTTGCCAGACTGCAGTCTCCTGGTGTGGCTTCACCCCAGAAACAAGCCCACGACAGATAACAGATTTGCTGAGAACCAGTACCGCAGAGAGCAATGCGAAAGCTCCCGCGGCTGGTCCCAGTCCTGGGGAGGGTGCTGAGGTTTGCCTCGGGCCTCTCTTCTGTGAGGTGAGGCCAGCGGAACACGGGGCCCCGGGGCGACAGCGGGACCCCGACAGGAAGCAGTCTCTTTGAGGGGTTTAGTTCTCTCATGTGCACAGTGACACTTCACGCTATCCTGGTGTCCTTGAAGAAAATTCCTGTTAAATTAGATCTTCGAGC